CAACAGCGACAGCGACACCTACTTCGCGCCAAACCAACCCGCCGCATCACACCTCTCCTTCGAGCCGAATCCCTTTGAACACTCCTTCGCAGGCGGTGGCTCCGGCTCCGCAGGCGAGGCCCAGACTCCGGGCGGCACCAAGCTCCCCCCCGTGGCCTCCATCACCTCTCCCTCCTCCCTCCTCCGCGGCGGCGGCACAACACCCTACCCCTGGGGCACCTCTTCGCTCCGCACCGGCCCCCTCTCCCCGGCCATGCTCTCCGGCCCAACCGGCGACTACTTCGGCGACACCAACCACCTCCGCGGCGGCTTCACCCCGAACGAGTCCTCCCTGCGCACAGGCCTCACCCCCGGCGGCGGGGGCACCATGTTCCCCACCCCCAGCCCAAACTCCCAAGCAATCTTCAACCAGCTCGCCGGCGCCGGCACCGCCACCCCAACCGTCGACTTCCACCGCTCCGCCCTCGCCGCCTCGCACCGCAAGCAGTCTGAGGCACCCACCCCCTCAAACATCACATCCCAACCCCAGCGCGACGCCACAAACGGCGACCATGCCGCCACGACACCAGCCAAGCAGCGCCAGCAGCAGCAGCGCGAACCCTTCGCCCAACACGACGCCAACGACGCCGCGAACGGCCTATTTTTACTTGCTTCACTGTCGCGCACCAACTCCGTCGGCCCCGGCGCGTCAGGACAGTACGCCATGGCGCCCCAGCAACCCGTGCACGCGCACCCGAGCGGGGGGGCCTCGCAGCCGCGCGAGCGAAGGAATGGAAGTCAAGGCGGCGGCGGGGGGGTGAGCGAGGGGAGCGAGGATAGCGAGGGCAGGTCGTCGTCGAGGGTCGCGAGGGGGAAGGGACGGAAGGGCGGGGCGGGGGCGAGGAGGAAGGCGGAGGAGGTGCCGGTAGCGAGTAAGGCGCCGCCGGCGAAGAAGGGGAAGCATGGCGGCATGGCGGCGTCGCAGCATTATATGGAGCCGGAGCCGCCGAGTGAGGAGGAGGATGTTAAGCAGGAGGAGTATAATGCGAATGGGAAGAAGATGACGGATGAGGAGAAGAGGAAGAACTTTTTGGAGAGGAATCGGTATGTCTTATTTGTCCCAAACTTTCACCCTCACCCCAATCCTTTCCCCCAAAAATCACCGGGAAAAAAAACTGGACGGAAAAACTAACCCCCCAAACAGCGTCGCAGCCCTCAAATGCCGCCAGCGCAAGAAACAATGGCTCGCCAACCTCCAACAGAAAGTCGAGATCTTCAGCTCCGAAAACGACTCGCTCACCAACCAGCTCGCCAGCCTGCGCGAGGAGGTCATCCAGCTCAAGACGCGTCTGCTCGCGCACAAGGACTGTCCCGTATCGCAGTCGCAGGCTATGGGGGGGTATCTGGGGGGGATTGAGTTTGGTGGCGGGGGGATGCGGGGGGTGGGATGATGCAGCAGGGGATGGCAGGGGGGATGCCGCCGGGGATGCCGCCGGGGATGCCGCCGGGTATGGGGGTCGGGGGGTGCAGTATGCTGGGATGATGGGGCAGGGGATGCCGGGGCAGGGGATGCCGGGGGGGGGGCAGCAGGTTATGGCGCAGGGGGGGGGAGATAGGCGGTTCTCGTGAGGCTGGTTTGATTCCTTCCCTCCTCGTCTAAGCCTTTGTTGCTGAGGCGAGAGAGGGAGACGTGCTATGATAATGGGTGTTGAACTGGACCGGACGGAACTTCTTTTTTATCACTGGTGGGATTTACCAGTGTGGTGGGGGGACAAAATTGGGGGGGGGGGGGGGGGGATGGGGGAGTTATATTGTGTTTATACGTCTGCTCTGTATTCATTTTTCCCTGTTCTTCTTCTTTCTCTTCACTAGATTTTTTTTTTACCAGTTTTTATGTGCTCTTTTGTTTTGTTTGGTGGGAGGGAAGAACGGATGGGTGGATGGGGGAGGAAGAAGGGGGGGGGGGGGGCGGGGTAGGCCGAGCGTGCCCCTGATGGATGTGGGAAAGTGCGAGGATGAGGAAGGGGTGGGGGTGTATTACTAAGACAAGACAAGACAAGACAAGATACGAGATGGAAGAGATGGGATGATGGGGTGGTGTCGGTGTTGATATGAGAGTGGGGGATGATTAGGGGATTGATTGTGGGGAAGAGGGGGGATGGGGGATACATATTTGTATATATAAATGAGAGCTTGTTCCAATACACTTTGTCGTGATCATCATGCGTGGTAACGTGAGCGAAAAGCAGGAACGAGATGGAGAAAGGGGGAGGCGGGGGAGATTGGAAGGAAGTAGGGTAGGGCGGGTATAGGTCTGGTGCGAGGAGGGGGTGCGAATGTGGGTGGTTGGGCGTGATGTGTGGTGATATAGCATAGCATGGCCTGTTGCAGGAGGAGATCGGGTCAGAGTCACACAGGAGCATCGGCGGTGACTACAAGTTCGTGGTCGGAGGGGCCGCTAGCTACAGGGGTTGTGGGGGTTTATGGGGGGGGGAGGGGGTCTTGGTGGTGGGGGTTCTTGTTGTCGTCGTGAAGGCAGATCTTAGCGATTACTTGATAGGCTCGTCGCATTATCCGTAGCGGTAAGCTTCAAACCCTCGATGGTTAAGCAAGCGTAGCTCTCGGTTTTCTAGCATTTCGGCCCTTGCCTTATTCTCCTCCGCCGTTTTGGCGGCTACCCTCCTCTCCACCAGATGTCTTTGCCCTGCGTAACGCATCTTTGAGCATTTCCACTTCGACTCCAAGCTTCTAACAGCCTATGTCCTTCTACTTGTCGATTAAGGCGGATTCCTCATCTTCATAGAGCCCGAGTTGACGCAGGGCTGAACTGGCTTCCTCCTGCTTCGAGGCATTCTTCCTCTTCTAGTCATCGATAATAGCCCGATCAATAAGTGGCTCAACCTAATCTCGCAATTGCCTCGTACTTAATTGCTTCGGCGAGGAGATGGGCCCTTCTGATCTGCTTTTTCTCAACTTCCTGTGCAACCAAACCAAATGTGTCGGTGTTCCTGCGATGGGCAAGCCGCGACGCGACAGCTCATCAAGCGACATCGTAGGTCAATGCCACAAACCACAGATAGCAAACAGTAGACAGTAGAAGAAATCCAGCATAGAGTCAATCGCACAGGTTCGAAGCTCTGTGCTATGCGTTGATGGATGGCCGTCCCTACACACGTCTTAGCGTCGCCATGCCCGATTGGGATTTATATGAGAACTGCCAACCCACCATGTCCATCCCACCCACCCCTAATTCGAAATTTGATCTCGGAGCAAAATAAATTCTCAAACTCGCAGCTATACACCGCAGTGTCGGTCCGAGAGCAAGAAGTAGAAAGATACGCAAAGGACATCACACTATGGGACCTTGATACGGCCATACTCGCCCCTGTCGCATATCTACACCGAGATCGAATTGGCGATGGATTCTTGCGCTCTCGCCGTGTGGACAGCGCTGCGAAGCTGGTAACCAAAACCCTGACCCTCGAGAGATACCAGATAATGTATGGTGCTTAAGGTTTGCACTCTCTTTATCGTATGGTATGAGGGTAGTAGGATCCTCGAGTATAGTGCGTATTTGGCTCCATTTTTCACATGGGGATTGCTCTCGATTATAGTAAGTAGGACTACTTATATAGGCCTCAAAAGCAGTGTGTATATCATGTGGAAATGGATTGATCGAAGCAATAGTTGCCATAATTGCTATAGTTGTAGGATGTAGGATTTGGATTTTCTACGATGCTATTCTACACTGCCACTTTGGTTAGGCTAGGCAGCTCACGGGCAGCTCGCGAACTGGCCGGCCAGCTCACGAGCTGCAAATCTCACCGTTGGCCGGAACATCCACACCGTCTCCATCGCTGAATACGCTTCGGGGGGCCAAGCGAGGCTGAAAATGCTCCGGCCGTGACCTATTCACCGCTGCTTTCGCTCTCGCCAGATTCATCTCCTCCCGTAGAACTGGAGTCAATATATATTGGCGATGCTTCCGTCCCACCCGATTGACCGACTGCCGATCCATCTTTGGTTGTTGGTGTAGGCTCAGCTGGTCCCACTGTCTCTGCCGACACGTCTTCCTCATCCATGCTCATGGCGTCGTCCCCTCCAAAATTAGGCGGAGTCGAACTTGCTGTCCCATTGCTACCTTCACCCTCAATCCTTTCCATCGGCTGCGGATCCACGGTGTCCGACTTGACCTGGCCTGGTTCCATTGAGTCTGAACTAACAATCCCTGTTGACTCAGCAGTCGCTTCCTTGTCGCATCTCGATGCCACCCCATCTCCGTTCCAGAAAGCATATCCAGCAGGCATCGCTGCCATCTGATTTTCTCCACCATTTTCGCCCTCACGATCCAACCCATCCGTCCTTAATCCAGTGCCAACAGCATAAGTCAACTCCACCTCATCTACCCCTTTCTTCCTCAAAACTGGCTCATCCGGAATCGGCACCCCCATCAACTCCTCCCTCTTCCATCTCGCATTAAACGCCTCCCACCCCACATCCATTATATCCGCATGAACTCTCCTCCCCAGTTCCACCTCCTCCTCTCGACGCGCCCCGTAACCATCTATTTCCTCCACCCAATGGTACTTCCGCACCATCATACTCTCCATCTGAAGCACTCGTAGCCTCATCCAATCGCTCGGCGGCGCGTATACAGGCGTTCGTAGACCAAGATCCCACTCCTCCTTCGTCACGCCAATCATCCCCGCGAGACCCTCTCTGTCATGGTCCGCATCCCGAAATATCAGCTTCTCTTGGGCATCCTGTATCCGCCTATACGGTACTGGAACCGGGTGAGGCTCTGATGTTGAACTCTCTGACGAACGGGCTCTCTTGGCCCGCCGTGACCGTGCTCGTCCCCGACCTGTGCCGCGCCCGCGTCCAGGGGGTGTTTTGAAGATTGAAGGCTCCTGGGCCTCGGTTGGGCTTTTTTCTATTTCTGCAGGGATTTTCTTGCGCCACGTCTGCCATTCTGTCGGGGCTCCATTACTATGTTGTGATGGGTCTGCCTGTCCTCCTTGGGATAAAGTGGGAAGACTCGTTTGTTGTGGATTGGCCTGTTCCACCTGGTTTGGCTGCTGAAAAATATCGTTTGACAAAGCCATATCGACCTGCAGTTACCTCATTTACAGTTCTTTGACGTCTGTCAGGGGATGTTCATAATATTCTGGGCGTAGACACAATTTCTTACTCTTCGGCGCTACAGTCGAGAGATGGACATGAGGTTGCATGGCCGGTCTCACGACAGACATTGCAATAAATGAATAATGATGATTGTTTGAAATAGGCAGGCACGATGTGCCCGACGAGAAGTTGGGAGATGCATGCTGTCACAAGAGGGAAGGTGCGAGTGTGCGTATGTATGAGGTTGCTTATTTACGTGGGTATTTCTGCCTTTGTGGACGGATTTGAACGGGGATACCTGAACGTCCATCCATGGTTATGATTGGAGTGAAAGAAAAGAATTGCCGAATAAAATAGCAAATAATGGCGGAATTATATTGTGGAAAGGATGTTTGTTTGAGGTTCTAGGGGCGATGTGAAGGAATATGGGTGGGATCGGGGAAGTGGAATATTCTCCTCTTTTATCATAATAATAAATAATTTGTGGCATTGAATTAAAAAATTTCACGGAATAACGAACCCAACAACCACTTACTTTCTATCACTTGATATTAATTTGGGTATTTGAGTAAGTTGATATAGCCATTTCACGCTTTAATTGCATATGGTTTGTTTTGCTTTGGGAAGCAGCGACTAGTCATATTGCTGTTGTTGACGAAATATTCGAAGCCCAAGAAAAGCGCTACAAGCTACGTTCCTCTATTATCTTTTCCAGTAGTCTCTGAAACCAATGTACATGAGGTCGCTCTATCATACTTCCATGTGTGCCTTTAACGACATGCATCTGGGTGTTCTTTCCGTATTCTCTCCACAGGGATAATCAATTGGGAGGCGTGCTCCAGAAACTCCCCAGTAAAGGGTCCTCAATGAACACATCCAAGCTTGTCACGGAGCCTTCTAGATCATAATCCTGGAAGAGCCCCACAAGATTATGACCAGTTTTGCCCAGTTACCCAGCTGTTCTCGAGTCATTCCAATCACCCGGCCGGGCAGGGTGCGCAAGTGAGAAGATATAATCCAGAGCATCCTCATGTGACTTCTCTCGTAGATTGGAAACAGCCTTTACACAGTCTATGTCGACAAAGCCTAAGAAAAATGAAATGGCCAGCACACTATCGTACCAATCGTTGGTTCGCGCCCATCCCTTGATGCGCGGGGAGCATGATCGATGACGCCGAGAAACTTCACGCTATCCCCATTCTTTTCCATCACCTTGGCAATCTCGAATATTATATTGCCGCCTAATTCTTAAGCCCCAAGTGCATATGGCCCACTAAACTGGACCCTCTAGTAGAACTTTTCGCCGTCGAATCCTCGTGCGCACAGTGCGTACACTGGTCCTTCGTCAAATTGTCGAGCAGGATTCATAAACACGAGAACGTCACCCATGCCAGGATGTATTAAAAACAGGGGTATCTTGGTCCCCCGATGCTGTAGGACGGTGATCGGGTCATATTTGCTGTCCGCATGAGGCTGAAGACGGGTGACTGGGTCTGCTTTCTTCAAATTATCTATAGCCTGGCCAAGTTGACGAAGAACAGGATTCGAAAAGAAAAGCGTTACTGGGATATCCATATTCAATGTCTTTTGGAGGTATATTTTGAGCTTTAGCATATCTATGGAAGAAAGGCCTAGAGATGGCGAGCTCGCGTTTGACGTTATTATCTATACGACCGGGTTTGATGCTGTCACCGGCTCTTTCAGAGCGGTTGACTTCCAAGGGAGAGATGGCCTCAAACTTACAGATCAGTGGAGCAAGTCTATCCAAACTTATCTAGGCCTTACCGTCAACTCCTTTCCAAACATGTTTATGGTCATGAGTCCTCATCAAATGTTCAGCAACATCCCCCGAAGCATCGAATACGCCATCAACTGGATTTCCAACCTCATACGTTACGCCGCTGACAACAATATCACCTACATCGAAGCGACGCCGGAGGGAATGGATCAATGGGGGGACCATGTGAACGAGTGCGCAATAGGACTTTTGGCAAATGAAGTGGACTCCTGGATGACGCGTGTAAATAAGAATCTTGCGCACAAGCAAAAGAGGTCGATAGCGAGATACAATGGCCCGGCGCCAGGGTACAGGAAGCGATGCGATGATGTTGCATCTCGAAAGTATTCCGACTTGAAGATATTTTGAGCGTGGAGTCAATTTGTTGTACAGATTTAGATATTTCCTTGGGGTGCTTGGTTGCTTGTTCAGATATTTACACATTAGCAAATAAAATGAGCCGATAGTAAAAAAATTCAACCTTGATGCATGTGTGATCTGTGAAATTATCCATCCGTCCGTCATATTTCATGCTACGAAAATTCTCCATTCCACATTCCCCACACAGTCGGAGGATCTGGGAAGCCGTTCTTGGAGGGAAGTGGCAGATAATGGTCGATAGGAATGAATCACTTTCTCTTGTTCCGTTTTCCACATAAAAAGCTTATATAAATGCATAACAGCTAAAAAATTGTATATTAATTCTACAGAATTTATTGTTCCTTGACATCAAAATCATTTGTCGCTGCCGGATTATTCAACACCCACTTTATGCCTTCGTCAATAATGTTATCCCATCTTTTACTTGCAGAAAGCGCGTCGCCAAAACGGCGGAACCCATGAGGAACACCTCTGAATACGTTGATATTGGTAGGAACCCTGGAATTTGGGTCAGCTATCATAAAACACTCATCCACGCACGAGCTACGGGAAATAAATCAGATACGCACCCAACTGCTGTTATCTTCGCATATAGCAGCCCTTCGTCACGCAGCGGATCTAGACCCGTGATACCGAAAACAGTCGGTGGTAGCCCTTTCACTTCTTCAGGCGTCGCATTCCCGGGACTTAATTTTGTGTCCATTTTTCTGTCCAGTAAACTGTTCCGCTCGTACTAGTATACCAACAGCATTGTATATCTTGTCGCGCATTTTCGCGACAAGTTATCCTTCATCTTCTTCAACTGCGGCTCGTAGCAGTCCGCATGCACCAGTGACGGAATCATCAGGACCTGACCGACAGGATCTGGACACCCCGATGCTGCCTTGCCTAAATGCTTCTGAAGCACCAGCGTCAAATCAACCGCGCTCCAGCCAATATCCCACCTAGCACGACTTTCTGCCCGTTTCGATTTGCCTCATCGAGGTGACCATGCAACCACACAAAGGCGCCCTGTGCGTCGCCCCAAGCCGTCGGTTATGTGAACTCTGGCGCGTGTCGATAATTCACGTTGACGACAACGACACAGACACTGACTGCGATACTGGCGCATATCGCATCCTTGGACGCCAATGTTCCAAAAACGAAGCCTCCACCGTTGAAGTGAATGTAGACGGGCAGGAGCACTGACGCAGGGACTAACGATGGGCGGTAACTACGCGCCTCAAGGGAGTACCCATCGCGCGTTTGGATCGAGTGGTCGCGCATGTGGACTTGCGGAGATAGTGAGATCATGGCTTTACTGGCGATGGCCTCGCGGCCTTGGTTTGCTTTGAGCGTCATCTCGGAAACAGTTTGGTTGGCTACTGGCGGGGGCAAGCCTGCCTCGATCGCCAGCCACTTGTTGCTGGGTCCGCCATAGGAAGAGAAGTCGCACATAGCTAGTTAGCATAGAGTTCTCATTAATGACTAGTTGCCTCTTCACCACTTTCTAATGGTTGTAGAGGTAGGTCCTCCTGATCTTGCTGATGAGGGGATCGCGCAGCCTCAACCATAGCCGAGTAGGTTAAGCTCCGGGCTCCACCATTCGTCCTATAGGCAACAATGCCGAGAGCAATGCAAAAGATAGTTAAAAACAAAGCAACACCGTACGAGGCAAGTAACGCGGTAGAATTAAAGTTGTAGATATTCACCGAGTTTGTGATGGTGATATCCGTCGAGACCCTTTCGCCGCCCTAACGTTCGCAATGGCGTAATGAGCACTATGGCGTAATGAGCACTATGGCGTAATGAGCACCAAAACCCCCACCTTGCAACTTCAAACTCGTAAACCACAACATGGCGAGACGCAAGAGCCTTCGGGTTCAAGAGAATGAAGCTCGTATGGCTGAAGCTATAATAGCTTACTAGAATCGACAATTTACAAGCTTAAAGGCTATTGCGGAACACTTTCAAGTTGATCGGATGACTTTGACGCGTCGCGTGTCGGGGGGCCATTCCCGAGTGCAAGCGCGACAAAACCAGCAACTTTTATCTGCAGTTGAAGAGAGTACCTTAGTTAAGTGGATTTGCCAATTCTCTTCGATGGGACGCCCTATTAGACACTAGGGAATAAAGGAATTAGTGGAAGAAATCAGGATTCAAAGAGTGCAATGCGTTAACGATGCGTAATCTCAAATTATACGATACCCACCTGTTGGCAAAGAATGGATCTAACGCTTTATTCAACATAATATAGAGCTTGCTACAATTACTACTCGACAAATTAAGTCTGAGTGCAAAGGGTTGGACTTCAAATCGTTTTTAAGCCTAAAACTCATGAAATTGCAGATGGAAGACCACGACTTTTGATTGCAGATGGACATGACAGTCACATTTCTACAAATTTTATTGCTCATTGCATGCAACATAACATCGACCTTGGAGTTTGACGACTTGATTGAGTAACTACGGGCGGGCGGAGCCCTTATATACATCCAGTATACAATCTACGCTGTGCAGCGTACTATCAGGAACATCCCATGTTCCAACACTGATAAACTAATAGTTTGTACACGTGATTCCATATGGTAAACACCAATAACTTCAACATGCAATAACTCAATAGTCAACACCTCAAATAACTTAAAACTAGTTCAAATTGCAGTCCATTGTAATGGTGGGTGCACCAGATGTGAGAATCTAGCCACCCATCGGCGTATCGTAAGCTCTCGTGGTGCTCATTGCGGCTACCACGAGGTATCGTGGAATCAGCTGTTTGCAACCAGCATCCTCCTCCTCGGGAGTGGTGTTGCCCGGTGTCAGCCGCTGCAACGCAGGGGTTTCACCCTCCTGTTGGACGCTCCTCTCGTCCACCAACGGTGCCTGCATGGCGTTCCGTGGTCTTGGGCTCTGCCCGTCCTCACGCGGCATGCGTGGGCTTATCATCAGCTCTTGGCTGGGAACGCTTACCAAAGGTGCCTGCATGGCATCCTGAGGTCTTGGGCCATGCCCGTATCCTTGGTCGCGCAGCATGCGCTTGTCTATCAACGGCTTTTGGCCAGATACGTCTGCATAGACGTTGTGCGGCTGCACATCTCTTTGCCCTACTATGGGGGTTGGCATGTCTGGCCACATGGGCTCATACGTCGCTACGCTGTGCTTCCATTGTCCTTGTGTCTTGGGTCTTAGGTCTACGCCAGCAGGCGGTGCGGTGTTTCCGCTCTTTTCCCTCGTTGTGATTGCACTGGCTAGGCAGATCGTTGCCACTCGTGTCATAAAGGCACTCTTTAGTTTTTCTTGCAGCGTAGGAAGCATGCTTTCTTCATTGCGGCTCTCAACTGGCCTGTAATCGGGTCTGCGCGATGGTCCGTCAGCGGGGTTTGACTTACCTGCTCTATACTCAATTGAGAAATCGAAGGCGGCGAGTTTCTCTGCCCATCGCGCTTGTCGTCGGTTGAGCTCTCTTTTTGTCATGAAGTATTTAAGACTGTCATGATCTGTCTTCACAACGATAGGGTTTTGGCTACCCTCCAGGTAGTGCCGCCAGTGGCGGAACGCCATGACAATGGCTAGCAGTTCGCCGTCGTGAGTCTCATATCGGGACTCTGCGTCTGTCATTTTGCGGGAGAAGAATGCGACTGGGTGCCAGTGGGATTTCGACGGGTCCTCACTGTCGGCGACCTGCTGGGAGATGACAGCTGCAATGGCAAAGCCAGAGGCATCCGTTTCAACAAGGATGCGCTTCGTTGGGTCGAAGTGGACGAGTATTGGCGCCGTTGTGAATATGGTCTTAAGGCTTTGGAATGCTTCCTGAGCCTTTGTTGGGAAGGAGAAGGTGCCGCTCTTCTTGCCTGCCTGCATGCCTTTTAAGAGGTCCGTCATCGGGCTCACCACCTTTGAGTATTGGTAGATGAACCGTCAGTAGAAATTCGCGAAGCCGAGGAAGACTTGGAGCTCTCGGAACGTGGATGGCTCTGGCCATTGAGTTATGGACTCAACACGACTAGGCTCCATGGAAACACCAGTGGTTGACACGACGAAACCAAGGAAATCGACTTGGTCGGTTCCAAACTCACACTTCCTGAGGTTGCAGTACAGCTTATACTGCCGGAGCTGATTGAGGACCTGCTTGACGTGAGCCTCGTGCTCCTCCTCCTTGCAGGAGTAGATGAGGATATCGTCGAGATATATGACGCAGATGGTGTCGACAAGCCCTACCAGTGCTTGGCTAATGTATGCCTGGAACGTCGCTGGCGCATTTGCTAGGCCGAATGGCATGACCAAGTATTCAAAGTGGCCGTATCGGGTGCGAAAGGCGGTCTTCCACTCGTCGCCAGCCCTTATGCGTATCCTATGGTAGGCATCCTTGAGATCTAACTTGGTGTATATCCTTGCACCTACCAAGCGGTCTAAAGTTTCGCTGATTAGGGGCAGGGCGTGGCGGTTCTTAATGGTGATGCTGTTAAGGCCCCGGTAGTCAACGCATAGGCGTAGGCCTCCATCTTTCTTCTGCTGGAAGAGTACTGGTGCTCCTGCTGGGCTAGTGGATCTCCGTATCCATCCCTTCTTCATGCTCTCTTCGACGTAGGTGCGCAATACCTGCAGTTCGCTTTGTGATAGATTGTAGAGGGGCCCAAATGGAGGCTCTCCATCCTTAGTCTCGATGGCGTGGTCGAGCTTGTTGTGCGCTGGCAATATGCTAGCGTTCTCGTTTGAGAAGACGTCAGCGTAGTCGGCGAGGTACTCTGGGAGCGCTGGGGTTGGCGCTGTGGCTGCCATCGCTCGCAGCCTGACAGGGTTCTCGCCATATGAGGAGGTGGTTGAGCCGTCGGGGCGGTAGAAGACAGCATAGACATCCTTGCCTGCCTTCATTTCCTTAAAGAACTCTTCCGGTTCAGAGATCTTGATGTCTGTGCTCTCGAGGGCGTATCGCCATGTCTTCGCTGGCCAATTGACATTCGGATTGCTTGCGGCCAGCCAGGGGTACCCAAGGACTAAGCCTTCGCCTTGGATATCAGCAGCGAGGAAAGACGGGTGGTGCTGCTTCGTCTTGCCAGCACTGTCGGAGACGCTCATGCGGATCTGGTGTTCCCCGTAAATAAAGAAGGAGTTACCAGTGATCGTCTGGGCCTTCGCAAAAGAGGTGCTGTCTTCGCGCAGCCCCCACTGTTTGACCAGGCGTTGGGAGATGAAGTTGGCTTGCGAGCCGGAGTCGATTAGGGCCTTTTCGGTGTACGCGACACCGTTGATGGTCACAGTCACGTCAATCGTGAGCGAGTCGAAGTCGCCCGGGTCCATGGCCCTGTTCCTAGTCTCGCCCGTTATGGCTAGGGGGCTCTTGGGTTTTTTGCCGCAGCGGCGTTTGCACGGAGGCGACTGCGGCAGTCGCGGGAGTAGTGGCCGGACTTCCCGCAGTTAAAGCAACTGAAGGATCTTGTGTTGGTTGCGTCCAGGCTTAGGGCGGGCCTTGATCCTGTGACAGGATTGCGGTTCACTGTCGTCGCTGGACCGTTACCAAGTGTTTCCTTAGGGTCCTCTCTTGATCCGGCCTTGGCGTCAGAGGGTCTAGGTGGTCGCAGTGCGTCTGTGGCCACAGGCCGATGGCTGTTGCGGCCATGGCGGCCATGGCGGCGGTCGTACAGCGGACTGTCGTTGTATGGCCGACCTGCAGGTCCTGCGGGGCGGGCGTCCGCAGTCTTCGCGTTCTCTTGTAGCCTTGCGGCTAGTCGTGCCAGCTCGAGTCGAGAGGTAGGGACCGTCTGATGGTTGGTGATGAGTCGGCGCAGCTCTGGTCGGAGTTTCGTGAGCAGAATCTGTTGCTTCTGGGTCTCTGTGTATGGGTCTAGCTCAGCCTCGAGGCTCTCGAGGTAGGTGACGAACTCCGTCACTTTTTGGCCTGTTCCCTGCAGCGCGTCATGATGTTGTTGCGCGATGGTGAACATGCGATTCACCGGGTCTGCTACATTGTCGAGCAGGAACTTCGAGAATTCCTCCCAGGTGTGGCAGTCCTTTCCTAGTCGTTGTTCTTCTCTCTCATAGGCATCTGCAGGCTCTCCTTTCAAGTATGGGAGCGCCATGAGCACCTTTGCGGCATCTCGTTGGTAGAACACTGGCGACTCGCGAAACACGAGTTCGCAGGCCCGAATGAACTCCTTGTGCCCTTTATGTTCTTGCCCCAGTACTCAGGCGGGGGCTTCATACGAAGGCCGGCGTGATTACGGCGTTGGGGGTAGGCCGGCTGGCTTTTCCCTTCATCGTCGGACTCGGCGTTGGCCCGGCGTTTTGATGATGATTCAGACTGTTGCGACAGCTGACTGCGGCTCTCTTCGATGTCGCCCTGCTGGAGCTGGTACTCGAGTTTATCAATCCGGGCTTGGACCGCTCGTTGTTCGAGTTGTTTCCTCAGTTGTTGCTCTCGCCGGAGCAGGCGTTCCAGCGGATCTTGCTCGTCATTCTCTGGGCGGGGTTCTGCTCTCCGAGCTGCCTCGCTCTCAAGGTCCGTCAACAGTGAGTCGCCTCTCGGTGTCCGCCTGTCAGGCACTGCAGAGGCGGCGGCGCTGCGAGTGCCCACCATACATACTCCTCCCAAAGGGTTGAGCGGCTAGAATGTGAGAATCATATCACTCGATGTTCAAGACAGGTAAGCAGCATGGAGTTCAACAGGGAATCGTATTCCATTCATAGGTAGCTATTCAAACTAGCCGCTGGCTTCCTATTGAAGCCAGCTCGCCCCTACTTATACTCTTGCGTGTGCCCTCAACTAACTAGGGCGAAAGGGGGAAGAAGCTCGGCGATCCCCCTTTTACTCGGCCATGGCGATGGCTCCTGGATTGCCACGTGATGTGACATTATCCACCGCACGTAAAGGTGCTCTAGTACTGCAGGATCCATCGTATGCTCCGTATCTGGCTCTTCAGCTAGGCGGCGGCGTTTATAGCTAGTCTCTTGGCCCCGGGCCATAGCTTCTTTAATGCTGGTTTGCTGGGAGAGGACTTTCGCGGCTTGTGAAGACATTATATCGATGCTATGAGCCTTTATTAAATGACTCGATATATTAGCAGTGTCTCCAGACTCCAGATACTCTTTGTGACATAGCTTGCATCGCCAGAGCATCTTTCCACTTGAGTTGGTAATACGTGTCTCCCGTGAGGTTTCATTGTAGTCCCATATCTTTGATCTGCGATCGCATTTTTGTGTAGGAGTTGAGAGGATGAACAAGGTGCTCTAGATTGTCCGCTGTCAATGATTGACAAGCTATCAGACTGTTGGGAGGCCATAGTGGTTTATATTGTAGTACTGAATTGTAACCAAGGAATCTAGGTATGAAAAATGAATAGCAGCAGACGAAAGAATAGTGAACAAGATTGGTAGGTACAATAGGCAGCAGTGGTCACTGTCTAGGCTTCCACGTAGCTGTGGAGAGCAGCCTGTTGGGGGAAGGACCGAAAAATTGTCACCGTGCACAAATCATGTGGCGGTTTTGTCAGTCGGACCTTCAGGTTTTGCGCAATGGGCAAGAAGGCTTCGACAATAGATTACAGCATTCGGGTCAATTGATTCTAACTATTCTAATGGCCTACTCACTATTTATGGGCGTTTTGGGGCCCTACAGTAATTACCGTAATCCTCCGTATGCCCACTGTTCTGTACAGAGTTTTCACCTGCCCCGCTAAGGGCCATGGAGGGGATTACCAAACTTCTAAGCCAAAAACCCGGAATCCCTCAGCTCCCGTTCCGATTCCCAACAAGCCTAGCACTTGACTTCCCACGTGATTGGAACTAATAGTTTGGACTGAACTGAACTGATATAAATTTTGCTAAACTGAACTGAACTGAACTGTTGAAACCTTAAACTGGACTGAACTGGACTGAACTGGACTGAACTGGACTGAACTGGACTGGACTGGACTGGTTAAACTGATAAACTGATAAACTATTGGCCACACTGATCATGGTCTCGGGCGTAGGTCATCTCGTCGAGGTAGGTTACGTTACGTTGGTGGTTGTGGACTGTGTTCCATCTACGAAGCTGAAGTGCGTCGAGTAAGATGCATTGTGCAGCTTGCACACGTGGTGATCCTCACTCTGGTATTCACCATGCTTAACCCAGATTTCGGGAACCTAGTAAATGGCCTTGTTGCTGTTGTGAATCTGTGCGTAGGTTATGGGGAGCTTAGAAAATTCAGTTGCGATTAGAGACGAGCCGGGGCTGTCGCCGGCACGAAGGCAAATAGCCGAAGATTGGTACGCTAGACCTATAGACATCTGTAGTCAGTAATTGCCTTTAATGAAACGAAAAATCCCTAAATTAATTGGCTTTTTCTGCATTAAGTATTGCTGCTATTTTGCGGTATAGAGGAAAGGGCCGTTAAATACATACTATTAACAGTGAAGGTTATTAACTGTGTCTTAAATACCATGGTGTATGGGGATCAACCATTCCACGTCTTCCCATCTCAAACCTTTATCTCGATTTGCGGCGGTTGCTATTGTTGGCATTCCATGGTCTGCGACGGCATTAACTCACGAACGTTCCTGGTACAGTATGGAGTTTGATGACCGGCGAGAAGTTTGCCGCGGATGGGTTGGAGATAATCTGAGGGGTAAAAGTGGAGCGTGAGAATAAAGTGGGGTGCATGGGGAAGCGGGGAAGCGGTAAACCTCTTTTGGGTTGCCGGTGTCAGTTTCCCCGCTCGCCGATCCTAGCGCCGATCTTTTTGATAATCCTTGAGTCCTTCTGTGACCCCCTAGTCTTCCGGATATCAACAACCGCAACCCGAGTAACGTAGTTTGTGTTCCGCAAAGTCCGAGGAGCGTCTGTTATCTAGTTCGGGGAGCGAATATCTGGACTTTCTACTGCATTAAGATTCAAAAGAATTACCAAACAATTACCATTACATCCCTACTTCGAAGAAAACACGTGAGAATATAGATTCACTCTCGACAGTAATACTAGAATTTTCTTACCCTATTACATAAGTCATCCTATAACACTCGTATGTAGAACTATAACATCTATGGGCAACTATAAGGTTAGTAGGAGATGTTAGTGGGAGGGAGATCGGCAAGAGGGTTAATACTGTATAATTTATTTGATGTAACGTGCATGTATAACGAAAGTGCCAAACAAGCGAAAGTGCCAAAATATCGCGACTACCCCATAAGAATTGCGATAAATCCACCACAACAATATAAATTAATTAAAACTACTCAGAGTCCTCTTCCTCAGACCTGTCTATTACAATCTGACAAGTGCGCGCATTGTGTCCAGTCTCACCACACTTGCCACAGCGACGTGCATGGGTTTCTTCCCTTGGCTTCCGACCACTACTTGCCCTTATTTCTTGCTCTACTTGCTGCACAACGTCCCTCTCGTCCTGTAGCTCCTGTGCTACCTGTTGACTAAGTGATCCTCCTTGCTGTAGTCGTGTTTTTTTAGCTCTCCGGCGCTTGCTTAGCACTTCATTTGCCTGTCACAGGTTTTGGTTCTCTGCTTTTAACAATGCTAATTGATGCATTATTTGCGATGCATCCTTTGTAAACTGGTCAACAGCTGCATAGATTGAGGTTGGAGAGCTATTTTGATGATGCGCAATTCGGTTTTTAATGAAAGTAGACTGTGATACAGCTTCAGTTGGGTTATTTGGTGTCTGAGAAACCCATGGTTGAGCGGTGTTTGGGTGAGAGGTTGGAGGTGTTGGCGTCTTAAACCTAAGGTCAAGTGTAGATATTACACTCTCAGGGCTAAATGGAAGAAGCCCAGCACCTCGGAACCCTCCCTGAATATTGCTTTCTGTCATTGCAATGTTAAATGCAGCGTGGAAGGTAGGAAAGAAGTCATCCTTAGTAATGTGAATAATATGAGCCCGCATCATATCTTCAATTTGCCGACCGTAAGCTCTCTTTAATGGGCCAAAACAGCCAACATCAAGTGGTTGGAGTATATGGGAAGAGTGAGCAGGCATACAAAGTGTAATAATGTTGTGTTCTTTGCAGTACTCCTCAAACTTGTCTGAGTGGTGGCTCTCATGACCATCAAGGACTAACAAGCGATAACCACCAACACTCCGGGGCTTTGTGTGCTTCTCAAAATGCTGAATCCAATCCATACCTCTCTCGTTTGTAGTCCAGCCATTTGCAGTAACAGCGATTACCCAATCTGCTGGAAATCCACTATTCTCATACCAAGATGCAAGGTGGTTTTTACCTGCCACAATGACAAATGGCGGCACTGCCCAACCTTGAGAACTAACGCCTTGGATTACTGTAACCCATTCCCGATTGCCAGGCTGCACCTTTTTTGCCTTTGCCCGCCCATCTGAGCTCGTTACTACCGTTGCGCTTGAGATGACGCCCATCATAAACCCAGTCTCATCAAAGTTGTAGATATCTGCATTGTTGATGCCATACTTTAGAATTGTGTTCCATACAAGCTCAAACCAGCCACGAATGACTTCTGGATCTTCGCACTTAGCCTCTGGTAGTCGTATTTTCGCTGGAAGCGTGTCCGGAGCTCTACATGGCGCTTAACAAAGTTTGAAGCCCAACATGACCCGATGCGTGGTGCGTCGCGTGTTGCAAGTAGTCGATTTGCCATATCTTCAACAATAGACAACTGAGGAGGGAACCCTTTAGCAGCTAAGTCAAGTATATACTGAACAAGAACTGATTCCTCTAGGTTACTTAATTTCCGTAAGTTGGCTTGGATATCGCGTCGTGAAGGTACACCTTGTAAACGGTGACGTAGCTTGCGGTGGTCTACGGAATAGATCCTAGCTGCAACTTGAAGGCGCAAATTTGGGTCGCTTTGCATAGCTTGGATAGCTAGCACTAATTTGCTTTCATCATTTTTATGGCGCATGTTTTGTTGTGGAGGAATTTAACATTTAGTTGGGGGGGTTGGTCACCGCATGATTTTGGCACTTTCGCTTGTTTGGCACTTTCGTTATACATGCACGTTACCTTTACATACAATTTATGTCATAATACCTCTAAATTATAGTCACCGCGAAATGCACTATACTAACACCCACATAGGCCAAGCAACAGTGGGTTCCTAGCCTTATTAACAATACTGAAATGGAGCCCCTAATGAAAGCTTTAATTAGGATATCCGGATCGTCCTCGTAACGTGGACTCCGTCCACGTCCCGCGCAGCCCCGATAATGCTCTCCTGGGAGCTATTGTCCACAACGTCCTCCATCCGCCTCACGCCCCCCACGCTCACATTTGCCACATACCTCCCCGCTCTATGCGCGTCCCCCGGCGCGCCCTGCTCGCCCCGCCCCATCGGCGTCATCAAGACCCCGCCGTCGTCGCCATCGGCCTTGGGCCGCGAGCCCGACCCCATCTGACCATATTCCGCCAAGTTGTTGTTAGCAGCCTTTCGGTCGCGCGAGTGGTGGATCTTGTTGCGCACGAGGAAGGCAAAGGCCGGGATGCAGTTCACGCAGATGGCGATGCAGCCCTCGATGGTGGCCCAGAAGGCTAGCCACGAGATGTTGATCTGCGAGCTCTTGTTGGCGTGCAGCGTGAAGGCGCGGATGAAGGCCACGATGATGGTGGTAAAGCCGGCGCAGAAGGAAATGCCAGTGCCGATTTTTTGGAGGAGGTTCATCTGTAGGTTCCAGATAAGGGAGATGGGGATCGACATGACTAGGGATGAGGGTTAGTGGGTGCGGACTGAAGAGGGTGAAGGCATACTTAGGAGGTCGGTGGTCACGTCGCTGGCCATGCAAAAGTAGAGAGACCACGATCGCAGCTGCGCAAACTCTTTGGTGGCACACTTCCCCACGATGTTGTAGTTATGCATTGGCCCGCAGGAAACAAGCCCCGAGACGACGGCAATGATATATACGACCACGGTGAATATGAGAACCCCGTACCAAAACCTTGCGTAGATCGACCTCACGCGCTCTATCAGCCTCCTGAACATGAGCAGCAGGCTGATCTTGACGCACCACAGCGTCGTCAAAAACATGATGTTGGTGGCGAGGACGCTCCGCAGCATCTTCGTGTACTGCTGCGCGAAGTCTGGCGGCCGCTGCATCTTGCCATCCATGATGCCCTGGAACATGTAGATCTTGGGGAAAATGGAGAAGTTGAGGCCCGAGTAGGCGAGGTAGAAGATGAGCGCCGCCCAGCAGAAGTAGTCGTCGAGGCCAAAGCCGTGGCCAGCCTTCCAGCGCACGAGGATGCGGGTGAGGACAAAGGCGATGGCAACGACCATGCACGCGATGATGGCGCTCGTGTTCGTCGCGCGAGTGATATAGCCGCCGCTCATGGCGGCCACCATGGTTGGGACGACAGAGCTGGGGCTCTCCCTGCTGTGCCGTCAACGGGTCGCTGTGAAGGAAGGCGTTGGGCGGGACAATGCTCGAGTTTCCCATGGGATGTTTGTGGGATGACGGAGGGGGTAAAAGCAGTGATGGACGCTCAGAACTTTGTGTCCAACAGTCCAAGGGCATATCTATCCCTATACGTTGAAGTCGTATAGTAGGGGTGGCAAAACCCAAGCGACCAGCCTCGTGCGGGAGGCGGCATTCGGGTAGGGGCTATATCAGAATGGGGCGATGATGGCGAACGATATCACAGACACTCCTACGGAGTAACGTACTTGACAAGCGAGTCGTATTTGCATGCGAGTCGTATCGCAACACACCAAATCTGCACTTTACAGGTTAATAACTCAACAAATTAATTATTTAAAACCTCTAAAACTACCCTAATTAGGAACCTGCTTTAATGGGCATGTACGGGCAGTATGTGTGAGTGATCTACACATACTACATGCTGGTGGCGCACGAATTTGCAGGTCTGCTAGCTCACCTGTAACCCTACCCTCAACTACTATATTTGCTGTTTGTGCCCGCTCTAGGCCTTCCTGAACCGTTAAAACACCTCCCCTAGCTATATACGACCTCCTTACGGCTCTCTTCTTCTTTTGCCTCTCATTTGCGGCCCGTAGCTGCTTGTTTTCGTCCGCAAGAAGGACCGCATTATGCATAGCCATTTGGCACCCTTTTACTAGCTGCTGGAATGCCTGCTCTGTAGGGCTTGAGAAGCCTGCTGTACGGCGCTGAACAGATTCCTTAATTGCAGTAGCCTGACGGTCCAATTGACTAACATTATGGGGTGTTTCAGGTACCCAACGGTCCTGGGTAGTGTCTAGGTGAAGTAGAGGTGGGGTTGGTGTCCGTAATTGAGTATTCAGCTTTGAGAGCACCCGTTCTGGGTCGTATGGGTGTATGCCAGTGGCTGCAAAGCCACTACGGATCACATTAGCTGTTATAGAGTCTTTGCGGGCTGCAAGGTAGGCTGTAAGGAAGTCAGGTTTGTCAATATGACTAACTCCAACCCGCATATACCCCTCGATTTGTTTTCCATATAACCGTTTCATAACTGCAAAGCAGCTAACGTCAAGTGGTTGCAAAAGATGTGACGAGTGTGGAGGCATACAGAGTGTGATAATTGAGTGCTCCTTGCAAAACAGGTCAAATTCAGGAGTGGAATGACTTCCATGTCCGTCAAGAATCAAGAGCCTGTAAACACCCTTTGTACGGTCCTTTGTGTGCTTCTGGAAGACGTCCGTAAGCCAGGTAAGGCCTAAAGAGTCGTCCGTCCACCCGTTATTACTAACTGCAATGGTCCAATCTCGAGGCAAGGTATCCGTACACCAACTTGATATATGGACCTTTCCCTCAAATATAACCATTGGTGGCACACTCCACCCGCTTGCTGCAATTGACTCAATAACGGTAACCCATTCACGGTTCCCTGGCTGCACACAAACGGGCTTATGAACCCGCTCAGAACCCGTAATCACTTTTGCGGTTGTAATCACTCCCATTTGAAATCCCGTCTCGTCAAAGTTATAGATGTCATCTTCCTGAATCCCATATTTGGCAATTGTGTTCTGTAAAAGTCGAAACCAATCCCGAATAACGATAGGATCTTCACATTTTGCCCGTTGATAATCGTATTTACGGGTGTACTTTGATTGGAGGAAAGGGTGGCGCTTTACAAAGTTGTAAACCCATCGTTGGCCAACTGTAAGAGGGGTAGAGTAGACCACGTCAGACCGTTTTTGGAGTAATAGATTTGCCATTTGCCATACAGATTCAGATCTAAGGGGTAGACCTCGTTTCTCCATAGATAATATCCATTCGACAAGTGTTGACTCCTCTGTGTTGCTAAGTTTTTTATTTGCGGTTGTAAATCATGTCAAGCAACGCGTCCGTTAACGCGGTCGCGGACAGTTGTGTATGGCACATCGTAGGTTGTACAAGCCGCTTTAAGGTTGCTAAAATAGCCTTGATGGAAGGCCTGAATAGCTAAATCAATTCGGCCTTCAATCTGACTAGCCGGAGTGTTCTGTGGTTGAGCCATTATAGTCATTAGTGTCCGTAAAGTGCAGATTTGGTGTGTTGCGATACGACTCGCATGCAAATACGACTCGCTTGTCAAGTACGTTAGATTGTAAGCGGTTACATAAGCAAACCCCAGCAAACTGCTCTAGCAACACTAGAATCATAAAACAGGCCAAATTGATAAAGAGAGTGATTTATAGTAGAGTAAGATTCATAATAGTAGAAATGAATCACTTAATAAGAAGTGATTCATAGTAAGAATACCCCTATTTCTACTTGCCTTATTCCTCTTTGTGCCTTTCCTTTCTTCTTATAATATCAACTTCTTCAACTCTTACTTCAACTATTACTAATTATAATCTCAGTCACGAGGTATGCCAGGCGGGGTTTGGCGCCTGCCCGATCGGGGAAGGTGCATGCACGGGCCTGCCGCCGCTTTCAACTTCTATAAGGAGGGCCGCTCCTCCCCCTCGACTTCTGTCCCTCTCCACCGTCGCTCCTTCCCTCCCAACATTCTCGCACCTGCTGCGCTCATTCGTGCGATGCTTGGTCCCTTCCACCCCCTTTCACACTGCATGGCCCCGCCCAACGTATCCCCCTGCTCGGCCTCGCCACAGCTGAAAACCCGCAGTGGCACATGAACGCCTTCGCAGAGCTACAACCGATTTACGCCCTTCGATGGCTGCGCCGTCCATGCCACCGAGCTATTCACGATGGCAACGAGCCCTCTGAGCATCGACGTCTGGCCGTCAGAGCTGTCAAGATGCGAGATTGAGCGTTCAGATCGCAGCTCTTGTGCCCTTCTTCGTCGCCGCACACATCTATACCCTCTTGCGACTGTGGCATGCGCAATCCGCCTTGAGAGTGTCTTGCGCTACGACCTAGCCAATCGCAAAAATGCCTCACAGTGACATGGCTGGCCCTTGCGTAGACCGCTACGCGGCACAGCGGTGCCATTTGCTTTCAGTCTAGGCCGATCTTGGAGAGAAGGGCCGAATTCTGTTTGCGAGCCTAGCTTCTTGGTGTCATACTGACATTCGTTGCACTCAGTTTGCTATCAAACTCAAGAGCAAACTTAGAAATCTCCTCCTCATCTACAAGTCACTATACATATTTTGGCTTGTCACACCAATGTAAGGACACAGGGCACCCAGCTCACAGTAATAGCATATGAGAGTGCGAGTCGGAGGCTAAACGGATGCTATCCTATAGGTCTACTACGAGGGATACAAAAAAGATGAAGGGAAAAAAGATGAAGGGAAAAAAGATGAAGGGAAAAAAGATGAAGGGGGCGATTCGGAGGGTCCTCGGTGTGCATTCGTGATGACCCTGGAATCGAGGGAGAACGAGTGTTCCGAAGAGGCGGCAATTGAACTGTCTCGGGGTGTTTCGTGTACGAGGCGTTCGTTGCTCCGTAACTTCTACTGTGGGTATGGGGGCGTCCACCGGCGGTGTGGACGGGATTCTGGTCTGGGATGCCGACAGGATAACTAGTAGATCCTTGACCTCCTGTATCTGTGCTTTGAGGTGGTCCATTCGACTCGGGATATCTTCGGATGGCACAGCGGTCGTAGCTGCAGCGGTGGTTTGTCTGGTAGTCATTCTGGGCAGTTGACCGTCGTTGTCTTGGGGTATGTTTGATGTCGGCTTTTTCGACATATTGCCTCGGGTGTGTATCGGTACTGATACGAAAGAGCTTGACTTCCGGTAGCTCGTAGCTATCAACGCTCTTGTAAGGATGCCAAAGCCCTCAGTGATGGAAAGCATCGGAGTCGGGCAGGTTACGGTCATGTGGGGAGCATTAGGGTAGGTTATCCGAGTCGGACCAGTTTCGGGTACTTAAGGAAATTGACTCAACAGGGGTTCCTCTCTTCATCTTTTTTGTATCCTTCATAGTAGACCTATAGGATAGCATCCGTTTAGCCTCCGACTCGCACTCTCATATGCTATTACTGTGAGCTGGGTGCCCTGTGTCATTACATTATACAAAAAAGATCACGCCTGCCGGGGACGGCCGTACTTAAATAATATCCCACACCGGAACGACTCAGGAGAACTACCGTTACACCATCGACTGCGACTCGGTGATGTTTCGGAGGAGAGACCTGACGACTTCAAATAGCCGTGATTCCAGAGATCTCATGGACAGCCAGTGGATCAGGGTTTGATTCTTCAGAACAAGCTGGTAAAGTCGCCGACGCGTTGGCGCCAAATAGGATACGAGATCCTTAAGAACCCCCTCATAGCACAGAGGAAATTGTGGACAAGAGCGTTGATAGCTACGAGCTACCGGAAGTCAAGCTCTTTCGTATCAGTACCGATACACACCCGAGGCAATATGTCGAAAAAGCCGACATCAAACATACCCCAAGACAACGACGGTCAACTGCCCAGAATGACTACCAGACAAACCACCGCTGCAGCTACGACCGCTGTGCCATCCGAAGATATCCCGAGTCGAATGGACCACCTCAAAGCACAGATACAGGAGGTCAAGGATCTACTAGTTATCCTGTCGGCATCCCAGACCAGAATCCCGTCCACACCGCCGGTGGACGCCCCCATACCCACAGTAGAAGTTACGGAGCAACGAACGCCTCGTACACGAAACACCCCGAGACAGTTCAATTGCCGCCTCTTCGGAACACTCGTTCTCCCTCGATTCCAGGGTCATCACGAATGCACACCGAGGACCCTCCGAATCGCTATAAGAAATCAACCATCTCTGAGAAAATCCTTCCTCTCAGCGATGGGGTAGAACATATCTTCTTACAATGGAGCGCTTCGATTCGGGATCGACTCGTAGTCAATGAGGACCACTACCTTACCGACGTCTCGAGAAGAGCGTTGATATGGGGAACTACGACCGGCCTGGCGAAGACCTACCTAGAGCCCCAATACCTGTCCGCTACGCATGGGTTCCGCAGTGCTGAGGAGATGATGGATCTACTAGGTTCATACTACCTCACAGGCAATGAGATGGAACAGGCCAGGAACCTCTTCGACGACCTGCAAATGGGAGAGAAAGGGCATGCTAGCGAAACCTTCCCAGAGTTCAAGGCTCGTTTCCAAAGTGCAGCTATCACAGGACAAGTCTCTGAGTCGGAATGGTTTCGGTACATGTGGAACAAGTTAACTCCTCAATTCCGCAGCCGCGTCGCGATCATCAAAAACCAATGGAAGGGAGAATACCAGACCATGGTATGAGAACTTACCGCTTTCGACCAGGAACGGCGCCGGAACAACGAATTGAATCCTCTACCCACTCTCGCAAGGACGTCCACACGTACCACGGATACGGCAAAGGCGTCATCAGCGTCGAAGCCGACTCGAGCCACATCCGCTCTGTTCACCCGAACCGTGTTCCTCCCCAAGCCAGCCATACCGGAAC